CATGAAACATGGGGAAATCAATGGGCTTTTAGTCTTGTTTAGGTGCACTATAATAATAATATTGATTGTTGTTATTGTTTGTCCATCTATTTTAAAATAGATGACGGCCGTTCCTTCATCCGCTAGGTAAAAGGGGTTAATGGATGTGCAGATAGCTGACCAGGCTAGCTTTGCCACAGAAAGTTCTTGGGCAGCGTGGGCATCGAATTTAAGCCGCAAGAGTTTGGGGATCCACTTCACGGAAGTCATTTTGTTGTTAGTTTAACTACCAGAATAGGGTAATCACCAGCCGCACCAAGGTACTCAGGTAGTGGTAGAGCACTCGGTGGAAATGTTGTACTGTTGAACTAATGGCGTCTGTGGCTAAGGCGTAGCGAACTCGCTTCGTAATGCCGGGGTGCCGGTTTCGATCCCAGCTGTGGACGATTTGTCTTACGTTGGTTTTGACAGTTGTACCAAGAGCTGACCGTATAGAGGCAATGGCAAACTACTAAAAGTGAAATTGGCGTATGTAAATAGCAACAGCCAAAAAAATGTTAGAGTTGGTTGTGCAACATCCTGTAAAGGCATACGCAACTAACTAACGGTTGAACTGGGTTTCGGGAATTTGTTGCTGTTTAATTATCATCCTTGAAGTGTTTATCCTACGGATAGCAATCTTGGAGAGGACCGATCCCGAACCACAAAAGTTAAAGGTTAAAGGTTAAAGTCAAAAGGATCGACCATTGCCCCTGGTTTTTTTTTTTTTTTTTTTTTCTTATATGGCTCGGTCTGTCTCTGCAGAACGGTTAGCCTTTGCACAAAGCCCAAATTCCGTAGCTCTGGCGACGATCACCCAGGGATCTTCATGAACACTGCACTCGTGAACTTAACCTCACAACCGTGAAACGAGCCCAGGACCTTCAGAGCGAGAGACAAACGGCTTTTGACCATTTCGTCACAAAGATCCCCCAAACTAGTTTCCCATTACGCCTCATTGTGGAAAGGTGTCCCGTACTTTAGTTTTATCATCATCATGTGCCCTGCCAACTGGCGTAGGCGCTGAAGCGTCTCCACAGATCACGATCCCTGGTTGCCTGGAACAGCTCTCTTGATGATTTCCCTCCATGCCATCGTTTCAGCCCATCCAGCATCATCTCTCTGAGTCTGCCTCTACTTCTTTATCTAATTTAGTTTACTTACATTATATCTTATACACCGAGTGACGTGGGGGAAATGTCTACTCCTCCGTCTGTAACCTGCGTGTGCGTGTCTGCGTAATATGTTCATATCAGGTTAGTTGTGTATCCTTTACAGGACGTTGCAGAACAAACCCCAACAGCCCCAAGCTGTTGTGTGGTTTCTCTAAACAAATTTACGCCCAGTAGTTTGCCATTGCCTTCTGGACGGTCGGCTTTCTCGATACCACTGTCGAAACCAACGCAAGGCGCATGACCCGCAGCTGGGATCTTACCCGGCATCCCGGCATTACGAAGCGTTGGCATCGACTTAGCCACAGAGCCGACACATGTTCAAATATCAGACGATAAACCTGCTGTGCTAAATGCCATGTATGTACGTGAGTTTGTTTAGATATCGGAGCACACACCTACTGCATCTATGTGATGATGTTCTACCCCACCAGGATATCACAACTAGCGATAAACATCTGGTGACACAAAGTGCCACCATTTGGATGAGGATCACCCATGAAGAGGTCCCAGAAACCCCATTCAACCGTTATATTGTATAGTTTATATTAGGGCTCCTGGCAACAACCAGGGTGGGGCTTCAAAATAACGAAACATTCGTCGCATGTGGGGACGCGGATTGAATGTACATGTTGCTTGCTTGTTGTACCCCACCAGGACATCACATAAGCGATAAACACCCAGTGACACAAAGTGCTACCACGCGGATGAGGATCACCCGTGGAGAGGTCCCAGAAACCCCCTTTCAGCCGTTATGGCTACAAATGTGGCCCAGCCATATTCAGGGCTTCCGGCAAAAGCCAGGGTGGGGCTTCAAATAACAAATAATTGCATCACACAAGGGCATGTCTTGGAACATAATCTATGTGTTGGGTGTTCGTATAGATATCAGACAGCAAAACTATTGTACTAATATACATATATCTTTCTTAGGTACCCAACCTAACATCAACTGTATATAACGCGATAGTTGGTCCAGATCTATACTACACGCCCTACGAGGTCAAAGTTCAAGCCGAGAACGAGTTAGGAAAGGGACCAAACTCCTCAATCGCAGTTGTTTACTCTGCTGAAGACAGTAAGTGGTGTTTTAGAGTCAAGTAGTTTTGTCTCAACAATTTGTTGCTGAAAGCCCAAGTTTCTTTCAGGCAGCCCAAGATGAGAGCGACATTCTGCAAAGGACCTGCTATATGATGATGAGTTTTAGCTTGTTTGTGTCTTTCCTGTTAGAAAAGTAAAAATTCCTCTTCACGCCCTTAAGCCAATCAGGTACAGGGGAAGGTTAGTTGCGTATCCTTTACAGGACGTTACAGAACCAACCCTAACAGCCCATGACTGTTATGTGGTTTTTCTAGACAAATTTACGTCCAGTAGTTTGCCATTGCTTTTTGGACGGTCGGTTTTCTTAAAACCACTGTCGAAACCAACGCAACGCGCATGACCTGCAGCTGGGATCGAACCAGGCATCCCGGCATTACGAAGTATTCGCATCGACTTAGCCACAGAGCCGACTAAAAAAAAACAGCAGCACCTGGCTGTTGTGTGGTTTCTATAGACAAATTTAAGTCCAGTAGTTTGCCATAAGTGGAAGAGAGCCCATATTTTTGACAGACCATCGGCACTAGGTGGGTCAGCATTACGCTGGTCGTCTTTACTTCCCTAGGACAGCCATCCTGGTACCCATTATAGGCTGGGTAGACCTGCGACGCCCCATACCATAATACAAATCCACACAGCCAGCAGTGGGTTTCGATCGCGGTGTGTTGAAATTACGAGTCGGACTCGCAACGCCTAAGCCACGGACGCCGCTTCTTGTCAGAAAGAGAGTGTAAAATGTTACATAGAACCTGTTCTGCTGTATGGCAGCAAATCTTGGTATGCCAGTGAACAAATTAAGAATTTCGAAGCAACAGAGATGTAGTTTCTGAAACGAATGTTACGAATACGTGGACGGCTAGAGCAACTATCAACGATCGTTCGAAATAAGCTAATGAAAGTAGGGGCGAATGAGCTCAAGTCTTGTTTAAATGTGCAATAATAATAATGGTGTGTGAGCTTGTATGTTTCCAATAATCTGTGAAGGATATGTATATGTGCGTGTGTGTTTGTATATGTGTTTTTAACTAGATACTGTAATTACATTATGATCGTTTTCTAATTAGTTCTTTATGATCCCTTTTCAGTGCCGTCAAATGTGGCCCCAAAATTCATACAAGCCAACGCTGTCAACGGAACGGCAGGCATCGTTGAATGGGAACCCATACCCAACACACGGGAGGATGCCAAAGGGACCGTCTTTGCCTATCAGGTGAGGGTCTAAACCAGGGGTGGGACACTATAGTCCGCGGGCTACGTTTAAAATTATCCGCCTGGTTGGGGGACATGTAGAGGAGAGATGGGGGGGGTGGGGGGGGGGGGGAATCAGTTATAAATAAAACGCCTAGATTTGCTACTATACGAGATTTTTGTGCTATAATCTAAAGTTATAAAGATCAGTTTCTATTTGTCACTGATTATGTTACCCATTTTGTTTGTTGATATTTGGATGTTATTTCTTTCTGCATACGAAAGTGTTTTTGTGTTCTGCTATTTTGTGAGCTTAATGGCCAGATTATAAAGTTTCAACCGGAGTGTTTTTCTTAAGAAAAGATCACGGAGATGCAAAATACTAATTACATCTTGCTTACCTGACTATTATCAAGGATTTTTTTTTTTTTTTATTCAGTGAAAGCCCGGCTCGCTAGCTCAGTTGGCTAAAACCCTCTGCACGGCGACCGGGTAACGAACTCCTTGTGGTCCAGATTCACGCTTGGGGGTAGGCAGAAAAGCCACAATTCTCCCAGATTTACGGTATCTATCATGGAATTAATGCCGAAGGGTTGCAATATCCATAGTACCGAGCCAAAGGAATTACAACTCATGGTTTCTAAATACTTTAAAAAAAAAATTCCAGTTTAAAGAGGTGCGGTTCAGACCGCGAGGAGAGGGGAAAAAAAGCTTTTATTTATAAACAAAATATACGTAATCTGCAGGCCGTTGAATAAGGTATCGACATCATAGCACTCGGGATACTCACATAAGCGCTCCTTCCCCCATCTTCAGCAGCAAGCGAAGAGTTCAAATTTCGATGCTACCAGTACCTGTCTGATTGTATATCCGTCTCGTTTTTCCCTTGAGTGTTAAGCGTCGGCCGGATCCCACGGTAACTCCTCGCAGCGCCATTCTTCTTGGACCGTAATGATCTATTTATGCCTCCGGACTGTTCGTCTGCAGGCCAGTGCTGGTAAGGGAAGTGCTGCAAACGAGTGAAGTTCAACCCTACCAGGGGGCGCACAAGGAGCGATTAACACCCGGTGACGCAAAATGCCACCATTCAAATGAGAATTCACCCCCCCCCCTTTCCCCCACCGAGTCCTGTTCATGTTTCCATGCCCATTTACACATTGCCTGACCTTTCATTGATGCTTTCTCGGACTCTTCTGTGTCAGAAGGGTATCACGTTGTCTTGCCTCCAATTACATCAGCGCCTATATCGACACGCGACGCAGCTTTCAACGACCGCAGTACATCTAGAACTAGCCCTGACCCCCCTACCCACACGAGAGACTATATTTGAAAAAAGCAGTACACTGTGACACCCTCTGACCTAGATCTACAGAAGTGTGTAAATGGGCCTGGAAACGTGAACAGGACACCCCCCGCCCCCCATGTACATAGCTCAGAAACCCCACCCAACTGTTAGGCTATATTAGGGCCCCTGACAACGGCCGTTGTGGGGATTTAAGACAGCTAACAATTGGGTCCAATGTTGGGACGGAGTGATTTGTTGTTAAAGGGGTGTGCTATGCAAAAACTAGTAAAAATTCGAATCCTGCCTCAATGCGGAAGGTAATTTTTTTTTTTTTAATTCCCCACGGGAGCCCTAATATACGGGGCTTCTGGAACTAGCGTCTGGAAGATTCTCATCTGATTGGTGGCATTTTGTGTCACTGGGTGTTAATCCCTTATTGTGAGGTCCTGATGGGGTCGAACGTCACACACTCCTGATTCAAACGGTAGTAATGTTTGGCAGTAGCTTTTTGTTTTCTAATGTATCTGATAAAAGTTCACTTATTAAGTTTACTCACGCAATTTGCAAAAAGGTGAACTATTGGCTGGAAGGTGACACACGATGTCTGGGGAAACATGAAGACACGGCGCGCTTCATCCGTTTCTATGGCGACGTGGGCAGTGGTCTGATTGTGGGAATGGAATATGCCTTGGACTACTGTCTCAACTTGCAGTTCCTCAACCACGCGGGAATGGGACCAAAGACAGACAACTATTACATTGGCATGAATTTTGCGCGTAAGTTCTTTCCCTTGTTACTTTTTATTCATTTTTCTTAGAATGTTAGAATTTATACAGTTAAAGTCGATAAGATCGATTTCATCATTCTCGGTGTCTCTCCGCAGAGCGGCTAGCCGCCTGCCGAGAGCCCCACACAGAGCACGAACACCGTAGCTCCGGCGAGGATCCTCATGGATCTCTAAAAAAAATTGCACTTTTGAACTGAAGGACACAGCCGTAGAGCGAACCCACGACCTACAGAGCGCGAGTCAAACGGGGTTTTTTTTTTCTTCTAGGAACAAAAAAGTGCGGTGCTCACTACACAGTGCCTATTTCAGAAACACTGAATTCCCGTGTGGGTTCCTATTGTGGGGGGGGGGGGAATAGATCCACTGCGTCCCCAACAAGCATGTTGTAAGAGTCGACAAAATGGGGGTTTTCTTTGAAGTTGAACTGCTACTGCGTGAGAGGCAAGGAACCAACAGTCTGCATACAAATAAGTCAGATCTGTAAAAGGGATGTTTTACATGTGACTGCCTCTACCTCCATTCTCAGACTACATGTTGTGATGTCATATGTCAGGATTTGTTGCTCTAAGGGTTGAGAGTGATGTTCTGCAAAGGACCTGCTACGTGATGGTCAATGAGGTTATCTCAAAAGATTGGATTGGCTTTTTACCCCACCAGGACATCACACAAGCGATAAACACCCGATGACACAAAGTGCCACCATGCGGATGAGGATCACCGTGGAGAGGTCCCAGAAACCGCGTTCAGACATTTGGCCATAATGATGACCTGCCTATATTGCGGCCCCTGGCAAAAGCCAGAGTGGGGCTTCAAATAACAAAAAATAACGTCCTAAGAAGGACGTAAGGAATTAATTTATTTTAATTGTATCTCAAAAGAGCATCCAATTCACATGCATGATATGGACCTTATCATTGGCTACAGGTGCCACTGCGGGAATAGGCGAATGTACTGACGAAATAATGGGCATCGGTGAAGTGCCTATTGATCCCCATTTCATCCCAATGTGGGTTCTATGGTCTCATTCGAGGGAAAGGGGAGTGGAAGGGGAGGTGTGACATACTGCCACAGTTTCCCTAATAAGCGTATGGTAAAAGTCGACTACTTAGGGTTGTTTCCCTTTAAGTCAGAGAGCATATGCCTGAAATGTGAGGAACTGTCAGGCTGCATAGAAATAAGCCACATCTGTAAACAGATGCCCATGCACAACTCAAGGTCTGGAATAAGATCAAAGTTCAGAAGTGGTTGAAACCCTATAATTTTCCCTCGGAGTTTACAGTTGGTGAGTTTGAAGAAGAAGATAGCCATATCAACAATCATATTTGATCTCAAGATATTAGATACACAACACGCAGACTTTCGCCTGGCTGATACATGAAATACAGATTTTAAATTTTTTTTTAAATATCTAGAAACCATGAGTTGTTAACTCTTTGGTTCGGTACTATGGATATCGCAACCCTTCGACCTTTATTCCATAATAGCTACCATAAATCTGGGAGAAATGTGGCTTTTCTGCCTACCCCTGGGAGTGAACCCGGACCACAAGGAGTTTGTCACCCGGTCACCGCGAAATCAGATTTAACCAAGTACGCTAGAGAGCCGGGCAAAGTTAAGTTGATAACTTATCGTATATACTGTACACTCTGGTTACAAATATACCATATGCTGACTTCAAAACCTACTTTCATTGATGATAAACATTAAAAAATGAAAGCTCTTTTCAAAAAAGAAAATGAATCTGTGCTCAAAGAATCAGAAAAAAAATCAGATATAGGAAAATAACATCAAACAAATCAAAAGTTATGTTAATATTGGCATTGTGTTGTTTCATTGTTTCTGTTAAATTTCATATTTCTAGAGTTTTGTTTCTCAGCATTTCATTGTTTCTGTCAGATTTCATATTTTTGCTATTTTCTCTTTTAGCCTATCATAATTTTGCTCAAATTTCATGTTTCTGCTGTTTTCTTTCTCAGCCTTTCATCATTTTTTAAATGAAATGTAATGTTTTTGCTGTTTTATTTCTCAGCCTTTTATCGTTTTTTAAAATCAAATTTCATGTTTCTGCTGTTTGACTTCTCAGCCTTTCATCACTTTTATCAAATGTCATGTTTCTGCTGTTTGACTTCTCAGCCTTTCATTATTTTATTAAGTTTCACGTTTCTGCTGTTTTGACTACTCAGCCTTTCATCATTTTATCAAGTTTCACGTTTCTGCTGTTTGACTTCTCAGCCTTTCATCATTTTATCAAGTTTCATGTTTCTGCTGTTTGACTTCTCAGCCTTTCATCATTTTTATCAAATTTCACTTTTCGGCTGTATTCCTTTTCAGCTTTTCATTATTTCTGTCAAACTTCAAATGTCTGCTGTTTTGTTGCCAGCTCCCAGCAGGTACCCAGAATATGTGACAGTTATGTCCCATGGAAATGACAGTGTCAGGCTTCTCTGGAGAGGAGTGTCCACAATCTGGGGGGAGGAGCCTGTCATTGGATATAAGGTACTAATTGGTTATCTTTATAGTAGAAATTCATTTAACCCATCCCATCATAGGATACAAAGTACTGATTGCCTATCTTTGTAGTAGAAATTTATTTTCCCCATCCCATCATTGGATATAAGGTACTGATTGGCTATCTTTATTGTAGAAGTTTATTTATCCCCTCGCATCCTGAACTTCAGGTTGTTTCATAACCACAGGGGTGCCTCAGTATGACTGTGTTATATGGTTACATGTAAGTAAGTAAAGGACCCTTTTCCACGCCTTTAGGCGTATAGGGCATATAGGGCTAGACCTATATTTTTATAGACCAATCGGCACAAGATGGGTGATGTGATCAGCATCATCCCGGCCGCTTTTACTTTCCCGGGACTGCAGGCGGTACCCACTCAAGGCTGGGTCGACCAGGGAGCGAACCCACGACCTTCTGATCCGCGGCGAGCGTCTAATCCTGGCCACAGAGACTCCCTATGGTTACACGTGCTTTCTGGGATTTTCTTCTGTTTGATTCTCCTCCTTGAGGTATTAATCCTATCAACAGCGATCCTGGAAGGAAATTATTATCAACCTACCTATCCCTATAGGTTGTAAGGATATGTTTCTTCTTCTTCTTGTCATTCTCTCTGCTGGTGATTTTCAGATGAAAAGGCCAGTCTTCTACGAAGGATGTGGTACGAAGCGTGCCTTCCCCTGATCCCACCATTTTGGTTTCCACAAGAATACTAGCTGGCCAGACATGATATCTTTCCACTTGATTTAGAGAAATTTCAGCAGATCATTTTGGGTAGACTATGCTGCCTGTCCACGTGAGCAAAGTTAGAAGTCCCTAATCTCCAATTGCCTGTAAATATACTGCAGTCTTTTGTGTCTGGTTCAGAGTCTCAATACAATGGTCCGTTTCTTTCATGTGAGTAGATTGACTGGGTCTTCAGCATTGTCTTCTGGATAAGAAGTATTGTAGTTTGTTCTAATGGTTGGTTGCCTTTATCTGGGTTTTTTTTTTACCTCATAACCGGCCTTTATATTTTAACCTGGAATACCTAACAAAAAATGCATGGACACGTAGCTTTTATATCCCAGCCTTCTTCAGGGTCCAGGGTCCCATTGGGTGAAAGAGAAGGGCTGGGGGGGGGGGGGGTAATGAAAGAGACATACTGAAGATGATTATGATTGAGCATCTAGAACTGTGGCCACAATTAAGAAATATTTTTATTAACTTCTAAAGTATGAAGCAGTTCATTGTGTTTTTTGATTACCTAATATTTGTGTGCATTTTTTTTTTTTTTTTACTTTATCTGTCCTATTCTTCCTTTTTTTTAAATTATATTTAACCAAAGTTGTTACTTTGACTCTTTCATTCACACATGCCATCACTGTAACCAGGGCTTTTTTCTGGCGGTATGCAGCTTTACACAATACTGGAATTCTTTGTTGTTGTTGTTGTTGTTGTTGTTGATTGATGCATCAGTATTGCAGTGCCACTGTAACAAGCACTTTGTGGTGAGCACGAGTACTATTTTAGACCCTTTTGGTGAGTACTGGCACAGAGTTTTCTTCTCTAGAAACAATCCCTGACTGTAACCCATATAACTCAAAGGTTATTATTCTGAAGTATATACGCTGTGAAAAAGAAAAGAACACCCGTGTGGGTTCTGGGACCCTATTAAAAAGAAAACAAGAATAGACCCACTGCCTACCTAAAAGCATGTTGTAAGAGTCAACTAATTGGGAGCTTCCTTTGAAGTCAGAGTGCATCTGCCTGAGAGGCAAGGAACCAGCAGTCTGCATACAAATGAGTCAGATCTGTAAAACGGATGCAAACGCAACACTTAAGTTCTGGAACAGGGCTGCAGTATAGAAGTGGATGAATAACCAAAACTTTCTGCCGGAGTTTACAGCTGGTGAACGCTAAGATGAAGAAGAAGAGAAGAAAATATTTATTTATATAGGAGGGAAAAAAAATCTGATTAGTTCATATTTGGTCTCTTGAAAATTAGTCAATGTTTTTATGTTTACTTTCCTACAGGCATGGTGGTGGGATGTCAGGGAGGACATTCGGGCAGCCAAAATAGCTTATTTTATGAAAACCTCGACTGGAGTAATTCATGGAGTGGAGAAGAATGTCATCTACAAGGTTCGAATGTTGGCATATGGTATCGGAGGTGATGGCAAGAAGAGCCAGGATGTCTTTTTTACTTTAGGTTTGTTAACCAAATATCTTTGTCTTTGCCAGATTGGCCACCAGCTTAAATGTATAATGTCTCAAAGTATTTTGTGACAACCTTACCATAAAATTAACTGGGGAGGGGTGGGGGAGGAATAAGTATGTAAACTAAAGGTCTCTTTTCCCTTTTTCCACAACTTTAGGCCTATTGGGAATATATGGCTTGACCTATACTGCAATGAACAATCGGCACTTGGTGGGTCATGTGGTCAGTATCATTCTGGCTGCCTTTATTTCCTAGGACTTTTACCTGGTACCCATTTAAGTTTGGGTTGACCTGGGAGCTAAGCTCATTTTTATTTTTTAAGTCCAGCACCGTTCGGATTTGAACCCTTGTCATGGCAGTAGAGCAACGGGTGCACAACGTTAGACTTATGTATTCACAGACAAATCAGCAGCCGTGAGCTGATGTTGTCAACATCCTTTACTTCCAAAAACATTTCCTGGTTCCCATTTTTAGGCTGGGTTGACCTTATGACTCAAAATTTTCTTATAAATCCACCCAGTGCAGATTAAAACCCAAGATCGTTGAATCTGCAGGTGAGCGACAGGCCAAATATTCCCCCATTTTTCGGTTTTGAGATTAACCCAGTTCAGAATATGGATAAGTGATCATTTTTCGATATTTTACAGACAAAAAGGATAATACTACTCTATGGTCAGGAATATGTGCAGGCTAATAAATCACATCCTAGCATCAAAATCTACCATGAGATTAGTTTTATCTTTTATGACAGTAGCTACAAAAAACATCAAAGAATCAAAGGATTTGGTCATCTAGTCAGAATGGAACAAAGTCAGCTAGCAGCGTACTACATGAGAACAGCAGGCTACAGGTCAAAAACGCCAACAAAGAAAGAGATGAGCAGAGGAAGCAAAACAGACACTACAGAGATGCAATAGGATATTAACACAAGCGGCCCTAAATCCTCAGGATCCAGGTTAGATCCCATCCTATCCCACCCTAAAAAGTGGTACATAAAAGCAGTAAAAACATTTAACTACAATTGTATGGTCAACTACAATAGTATTTGCTTCACTTATGTCTTTAAAAAATACACAATGACAACATTTTGGATTGCAAGGAGTTAGCAATAAGTTCGGATACTGAAGGAGTCAAAGAAACATGTAAGTTAACAACTTGGACTGATTAGATGTGTGAGGGAAGGGTGGGGATAGTGACAAACACAGAGAGAGAGAGAGAGAGAGAGAGAGAGAGAGGAGAGAGATGCAATGTAATACAACAACTACAGACAAAATTAACTATTGTCTGAGACTGAAGAAAAAAGAAATATCTTGATAATTTAAGGAGCAACTAAGTAATATATGTGTGGCAAGTCTAAAGGATCAAAATGAGCGCATATTTACATTTTTCTTTCAGGTGGGCAAGTGATGTTTGATCCAACGACAACAGAAATCATGAACTCTGCTCCCAGCATGCAGCTGTCCTCACTTCTGACCTTAATTTTTATGTCTCTATTCCTAATGGTACAAATGATTAAAGTTGATTTGTGAGATGTTTTCTTTGTGAGTGAAAAAGAGGTCAACATTCAGTGCTTACCCCAAAATTGTTGCACATGTGTATGCCAGAGCTGAAAATAAATTTGTTGAATATACTGTGGTAAATTTGTTTGCCAGATACATTGTTTACCCTGGACTCCAATTTTTTGGCCAAAATTGTGTTTGTTTCTATGAAGTAAGATTAATATGTTATGTATAGTTTATGGCATGTCAGAGTTGATCACTGGCATCATGAGAGCTAATAGACTGAAACAAGGGAGCTGATGGTTGTAGATCATGAGGCAGACAAAGAAGACGATGGGACAGATAATGTCCAGTCAGATAAAAAAAATGAGTCATCACTACATTAATTTTTTTTATTTTAAAAAATCTGACAACCTTAGTGCCAAAGTTAAATCCTATCATCTGTTAGCTTGGATAATATGCTAAGATTGTGTTCATTATATTATTATACAAGTTTTTGATAGTAAAGTTGACTCATCCTAAAATTGGCACCAGGAAATGTTTTGAAAAGCTAAGGCAGCTACGATCATAAGACCACATCACCCTGTCAATTGCTTAGTCTAAAAAAAATGAGTTAACATCATATGCTCAAGACTCTTTAAAGTGCGGAAATAGGACCAAAATACAGACTAGACCTAATAAGGAGAACTCACCAGGGCCCAAGATATGGTTTTTCTTATCATAAATTCCTCTTATCCAGATAAGAATTTGATCAAGTAAAATTCCAGGGGACAAACAAAAATTGTTTTTCCCAACAGAAATTTGCCAATCTGAGATAGCCTTAAGCAGTCTGCAGTGTACTACTTAATGTCCCATTTTCATGCTATTAGACATATCAGGTCTGTGATGCTAAATCATACTTTTATAATGATTTGCACTCCACAAGTAATGTAAACACTATTCTCCAGCAAACTTTCCTTCCCATAAATTTCCTGGTACAAATTTTAGGCTTGGTCTGCATGAGCGCCATTACGCCATCTACCCATGCCAGGTTCAGACTATAGGTTACTTTGTAACCATCAGGGGGCCCTAATATAACCTTCTGGTTCAACAGGGCTTATTGGGATTTGTATAAGTAGGACTCTCATCCTTGAGATGCTAATCCTGTGGATTGCAATCCTGGAGGGGACAAACTGCAAGCAAGGTCAACGGAAAAAAATCCCTGTTGATTATTCGATGTGCAATGATAAATTGTATGCCAAAGTTGTTATGTTTTTTTTTTCATTTCTAATATCCAACATATGTTTGTATG